CGCTGCTGAAATAAATTTTCACATTTGGGGGGAACTGTTTTCTGATCATAAGTATATTTTCATACTTTCGGTGGACCTTCTCCAGTGGTGGATTGCAGGCGGTACGCCCCGGTACGGATCACCGGATACTGTTCCGGTACGGTGCTCCGGTGGGCCCACCTGTCCGCCCGAGCGCCTTACCGGTCTTTTAAGTGCTTGGCGCTTCCGCGCATGGTGCATACAGCCCCTGTGCAATGCTCGGCTAAGCAGCTAGAGCATTGCGGAGGCTCGCAGAGGCATTAAGACGCATGTGTGCACTGCGAGCATCCATGTGGACGCTGCCAAGCCCGTTCCAATCGTACTGGTTGGAACGGAATCCGGAACCCACCACTGACCTTCTCTGATTATTTTCTTCATTCTCTTGAATATTTAAACATAGAACGAGGAACACAAATTGCTGTTCAAGCTGCTTTGCTTTCATTCATTAATAGAATGAAACCTTTGAGGAAAAGCTGTCTTTGCAATCTTTATAAATGACAGTGTGACATCATTGGCATTTCTGGCATTGATATATCAACACTTGCTGAAGCAAATTTTTTGATTGAGAAGAGCAAAATGAAGCATAAATTCAGATTCCGTTGACATTAGAATTATTGGCCTAAATTAAGAAATATTCCAAAACCCCATTTATAATGAATATCAAGGATAAGTATTCAATACTACTGCCAATAAAAAATAGAGGCAAAAAGACTTCAGCAAATGACATTCACGGGAGAGAGAAGCAGCTTCTATAGCACTAATTAATTTAGCACATTCTGCATTGAATTAATGATAACATCCATAAAGAATGAGACCAGCACCATTTCAAGGTATGAATATGCTCCTTATGTTCTTTGTAACAATAAAACAATCTGTCCTGGGAGAAGGAACATTTGATGAACAAATCAAGAACCTCTGGAAATAGATAGCTTTTGCATTAGGGTGAAATGGAGTTTTACAATTGCCTCCTTCCCAATTTTTGAGACACTATGGAAAAGGAGCTGTCATCTGAATTAGAGGGAAGAGAAGAAAGACCCATAATCTTTCCGTGACTAGCCAATTCCTCTAAATCAGTCATTCCCAACATTGGGGCAATTTGATTTTTAATGGGGGCAATCCAAAAATGAGCTATTAACTGAATTTTTGAAAGCCCGCTAATTGTTCTTATATATTTGTGATGAAATAGGTAAATGAAACAGCTGTGTTTCATTTACCAATTGTTGTCTTTGTAAAAGTGCATTTTCTAGGGTCTGGTCTAAAAAGATTGGGGAGGGGGGAAAGGATGGAGTAACTGCCAGCCAATCAGATGTGTTTCCACTAAGGATCATTGGACTGTCAGAAAAAGCTTTCTTTAAAATTATTTTATGTTTATGCATTTCAGTTCTCTATTATATGTTTTGAAACTTTATTTGCTGTTTTTTCATATCCCTTCATACGATTATTTTTTAAGTTCCTCAGTCCTCCTACTGTCTTTCGTTCTTTTATTTTTCTCTTTCATGGATGCCATGGTCTTTGGAACCTTGTTTAAACCAAGTTAGTGGCCTTTTAGGCTTCCTCTGCATGAGTAGTTGTTCACTTTTTGAATCGTAAATATTACATGTCACCAGGGGGTGGGGGCATCAGGATTTTAGAGATGGTTAGATGGGTCATGTCCAAAAAACAGTTGGGAAACCACTGCTCTAAATCTTTAATTCCAGCAGCTTTTAAGGTGGTAGATAAACAAATTTTGAGCAAGTGGTTTAAGAGGTACTTTGCATTTTTAAGTCATCAAGTGTGCTTTTGGGGGAGGCATAAGATAACTATTTTAAAAAAAATTCTAGGCCCAATTAGTTTTTGTTAGCTGAGATTCATTTCACAATGGTTTTGAGTCACTTGATTTTTCTCTCCATTTTATTAATCTGTTATTTTGACTGATGTACAGCACCAGTGACGTGTGGTGAGCTTCATGGCCGGTGAGGCAAGTGCGAAAGCCCCACCAAAGCCCCGGCAGCGGCAGGGCTTTAAAGTGGCGGCATGGCCCCAGTGGCAGGGCTTTAAAGTCCCGGCACCGTCCACCATAGAGCAGGACCAGGTCCCGTTCTATGGTGGACAGCGCCAGGACTTTAAAGCCCTGCCACCGGGGGACTGCCAACACTTTAAAGCCCTGCTGCCCGGGACAAGGCAAGGAAGACTTCCTCGGTCGGGCCCAAGAGGGACGTCGAGAAGAGCTACATGTGGCGGCTGGTCTTGGAGGCGCTTGCACTCAGGGCAGGAGCCCCCTCTAGCCCGCCCTGAAACTCCTGGAGCGAAGCAGAAGCTGGCCCGCCTGGTTGAATTCCCAGGGAGCCGCCTCGGGCGCCATGACTCACCCTGCAGCTGTCCGGCAAGAGGACCAGGCCCCGCATCCAGCGCGAAGCAGTGCAGCGCTTCCCTGGTGAAGAGGTCCCACCAGACGACGCAGGGGTCCCAGCTCCTGGAGAGCAGACAGTAAGGCGCCGGCCGGCCAGGCAGCACCAGCAGGGCCGCCATGGCGCTGCCACTGGCGCAGCTCAGCATGCATGCCGCAGCAGCGTCTGCGAGAAAGAGTCAGGCAGGTAGTGGCCAGTACCGCCAGGATCACCCCCCGCCCCGTTTCTGCAGCCCAGGAGCCCCAGGTGGACCGGCTTCTGCTTCGCTCCAGGAGTTTCGGGGCGGGCTAGAGGGGGCTGCCCTGAGCGTAAGGGTCCCCGAGGCCGCCCACCTCATGTAGCTCTTCCCAACATCCTTCTTGGGCCCGACCGAGGAAGTCTTCCTTGCCTTGTCCCGGACAGCAGGGCTTTAAAGTGGTGGCAGGGCCCCGGCGGCAGGGCTTTAAAGTCCCGGTGCCATCCGCCATAGAACGGGACTGGATCCCGCTCTATGGCGGATGGCGCCGGGACTTTAAAGTCCTGCCACCAGGGCACTGCCGCCACTTTAAAGCCCTGCCGCTGGGGCCTGAGCGGCCATGATTCCCCCCTTCCCAGCCGGCCAGCCCACCCAGCCCATTCCTCCCCCTGCCACTGCTGTGTCCAACAGGCCAGGCATCTCACGTTTATGGTGGACATAAACGCGAGACGCCTGGCCTGTTGGACACAGCGTCGAGAATGTCCCTGCCGCTGCCGCGCTCCACTGCCTCACCCCCAACCTCCTCCATCCCCACAATTAAATTACAATAATTTTGAATCCCCCCTCCCTCCGTCCGATCCACATACCTTTTCCAGCTGTGGATTTCAACTCTCCTCTTGTCCACTCGCCATGATGAAAATGTAAAAAATTAAATAAAAAAGCAATTTACTTAGGCAAGGCATGATTTGCTGCTCCCAGATCAGGAGGCAGGAGAATCCCGTGCCTCCTTTGCATAAGGTATTTGTTGCCTTTTAACCCT